CAAGGCTTGAAAAGTATAGAAAACTTAAGAAAAATATCCATATTAATTACTAAGGGAAAAGTCAAATGCTGCTGATTTCTTATAAAACTAAATTTAGACTAGGATTTGGGCAACAAAATTTGTTGTTAGCACTTACTATTGCCATGGGCTCATTTAGTTAGAATGTACCAAACATCTACTGTGTGTCAGCCAGAATATACCCATATCAATATGAAATACATGGTCTTAGGAGGAAAAAGAGTGGTAGAAAGTCACACATTTTAACTCTCTAGACTCTGCAATGAGCACTTTCAAAAAGTATGCTCAAGGCATATAGAGACTGGGGGCTGGAGAAATGGAACAGTGGCTAAGAGTGTACAATAATCATGAGAACTTGTCTTCAAATCCCAGCACCCAAGTGACAACCAGACATCCCTGAACATGTCTATAACCCCAGCTCAAAGTTTGCTGGGCCTTGCTGGTTTCCAGTCTAGTTTAGAAAGCATGAGCCCCAGGTTCAGGGAGACACCCCGCTCAAAAGAAATAAAAAATGGTAAACGGTGCAGCAGGTGCTCTTCTCTGGCCTCTGCATACATGTATAGATGGCCCCACCCAAGCTTATGAATGTATATACGCACATATACATGTACAAACGTAACTATAAAAAGTATACAAAAGCAGTCTTTTGTATAATTATGATATATTAGAGAAAGTGGATTCAAACTTTATAAATAAGGAAATACATTAACATTGGCTTAAACAGCTTAGACAGCCTATCATATCTGTAATATCTTGTATTCTCTGTCTGAAGTCTTCAAAATGCTCTGAAATGCTTTTATTTAGAGAGTCTTTTGGGTCCTTAATTATTTATAAGAATACACTTGGTGCATTCCTGCTGATTCTGTTTACAACTATCATAACTAACATCAACACACAGATTGAGAGCCTGGAAGCAAGCACGGCTTGATATAAAGATCGTATGCTTTGTAGTCAGGCACAGAGAGATAAAATCTTTGTTTTTTAATTAGATACTCTTATGTAAGTTCTTAAAACCTGTTTTCTTGTTCCTAAAACCAGAATATCTTCTGGCAAGCAATGTAAAGAAAAAAATATGCACATAAGAGTCTTCAGAAATGCTAAATTCGTGTCCCATTTGCTTCACTGGTGTGAAGAGAAACAATGGTCAAACCCTCTGTAAAGATAATATTTTCCTAAAACTCTGATTTCAGCTATGCCCTTTGGGATGGACAGAAAAAGAGCTCCAACCCACTAACTCACATTTTTATGTAACCAGAGGCTGAACCAAGATTCCTGCAAGATGTCACCTATGTATGTCCTCAGGGAGTTGCCAGAATGTCTAGGTCTTATGTAATTCATAATCTCCCTCACCCAGCAGCAATCAGTCTCAAATAGTTCTCAGTCTAGTTCTGGCCTGCAAGCTATTTCTCACCTCTGCTTTGGGCTCTTGTTTAATTGAGCTGACATGGGTCCCGTGCTTGATGCCATGACTGACACAGGCTCAATGGCCTCGAAGCCTCTACCTCCTTATGCTCATGAACTGGCCATGGCTCTTAAAATCATTCTGTCCCCTCTTCCACAATGGTCCCTGAGCCATGGGTGGGTTAGTTTTCATATAGGCGCCCCATCCTACACTCTACAGTCTCCTATTCTCTAAAACTTGGCCAGTTGTGGCCTTCTGTGTGTCTCATACACTGATGAACACGAAAGCCTCACTGGTGAGAGTTGAAGGGTGCGTTAGCCCTATCTCTACTCATTATTCTGCTGTGTTCCATGAGCTTTAGTTGTAGAGATTCAACTGCAGGTATATGTTCTCTGTGCACGACCAGATGTGGAACTGTACAATAGCCTCCCATCTCTTGCAAAAAGAAGCTTCATTGATGAGTGCTGTATGACAGGGTATGTTTGTCGCTCTAAGGGAGGTCTCTTCTATCTGACACTGCATTCCCTGCCAAGCACCTCCTAGATGAACATATGCATTGATGTTCAGACACTCTATGTGCATTTCTCATAGGGTTTCTAGGGCATCATTTTTCCCTCCTAGCCCCCAAGATTCACTCATCTCTGCTCTTCTTTCTCCCATTCAGCCCCCCTCCTCTCTCCCTTCCTAGTCACAGTGCCCCCATTATCCCCACCCTCCCCCAGTACCTCCCAACTCCTGCCATCTTTCCTTTTCTGACTTCACTCTCTCCCCTACAACATGGTCCCTTGCATGTCCCTCCCTCCTCTCCTCCCTGCCTAATATACCCACTTTTTCCACCTCCCTCAGGTAACATCTGTTCCCTACTATCTCCCTTCCAGGTTGTTTCTTTTCCTTTACCTCCATGTAGCCTTTGCCTTTATCTGGCTCCTTGTGTTACATCAGAATTTATACACTCACATATAAGGGATTGGTGCTACAATCCACAAAAGGGAGAAAACATGTTGCTTACTTTTCTGCATTTGTGTTACTTCACTTAGTATAACACTCTCCAGCTCCATCCATTTATCTGAAAATTTCATAATCTTATCTTTCCTTACTGCTGAGTAGAACTCCATTGAGTAGATGTACATTTTCATTTAATCATTCATCAGTTGAGGGTCCATTTAGGTTGTTTCCATTTCTTAGCTACTGAGAAGAGAGCAGCTACAAACATGGATGTACAGAATCTCTACAGTACCATTTGGGTATATGCCAAGGAGTGGTATCACTGGTTCATGTGGTAGGTTCATTTTTAGTTTTTTTGAGGGTTTTCCACACTGTTTTCCATAGTAGGAGCACGAGTTTGCATTCCTCCCAGCAGTGAAGAGCATTCTTCTTTCTCCACATCCTCTCCTGCAGTTGGAGTCTTTTGTTCTCTTAATGTTAGGCAGTCTAACTAGTCTAAGTTGTCTTAAATCTAGTCATAGGTCTTTCACTTTTCTCAAGTACTGACAAAGTGCCACCTTTGGGGAAGTACTACACAATTTAATTCATATGCACTGCATGACACTAAACTCCTTCTTTCAATAAATGCAGTATTTTAACAAAATTGCAGCATGTATTTGAGGTTTATAACAGTGTTATGGGATACATATATTTACAGAAATGTTAACTACTGTGACATAGACTAATGTACCTATCATCTTATATAATTACTTTTTTTTTACAACAAGAGCAGCTTAAACTTACTTAATAACAATTTTCACTATAATACAGTATTATTATATTTACTTCTGTTGTACATTATATCACGGGGCATGTTATCTTTCTTGATTATCATGAAAATATAGGTATTTATTATAAAGTCACAGCTACTCTAATTTCTTCTCAGTTTTTGAAAGCCATACTAAAGAGGAGGGTTGTGTGTAGGCTGTATGGAGGCACACTGGTTGCCATTCCAAGCATGTCTTTATTAGACTCTACCACTCCAGAATTTCACACATTTTAAATGGAAATAAATGAAATATATCTTTGTCTATAACTTTTCTAGTGGAAAGAATACAATCATAACCACTTTTTCTAATGTAAGACAATGTCACCCAAAATACAGGCCCCTGTCAAATGTCCAGTTGCACAATTCCAAGTAAAGATGATGAATTTTCTTTTCCCCCTTAATGTCTGTATATGGATTGGACCCACATTCCAACCATCCTCTAGTGCGCTCCATGAACAGCCTTGTGTAATGGAGACTATCAGTTGTTCCAAGTTACCACATCACTGTGTCCAACCTTATGCCTTACTCCTGGTCTCAGATGAGAGCACTCACTCCTTGCGTGGCTGATCTTTTCCATGACTCTGGAGTTCACTCTTCATGCATTGTCAGGTGTTTCCTTTTATTAATCTCATATTTCTTTTCTAATATGTATTTCTGACTTCCTTTTCAGTGAGTTTTTCCTCACAAGCATGTTTTATTCTCTATACTTAAATAAAAATGGAGGAAAACTTAGAGAACTTTTATTTTTGTTATTTGGTCCTTTTTCTCCAGGGACAGCTTTTCTTTCCTTTAACTAAACTCTTTCCCTTATCTTCTCCACAATCTCAGCTCTGGACACTGTCCTGACTCAACATACTCCAGGTAGATGACTGTAATGTTGAATATTGTGCTGAATGCTTATGATAGACAAAGGAGAAAGGGAATGCAGGAGCAGGTGTGAAAAGCCCTTAGATTGTGACATAAGCCCATCACTTCATAGGGAAGTACATAATGAGAAAAGAAGGCATTGCTTTTAAAAAACTGCAAACTGACAGAATTTTCAAGAAGACCTCAGCTATACCATGAAACATCCCAGAGAGCAGAATGTGTGCTTGATATATTCTGTACCAGGTAGAACTGGCCCAGTTTGACACCCAGTGGTGCTCTATCACGGTCTGGGGAGTTTGACCTGGAATGAATGCTGTTTCAGCAGATCCTATAGATCAGTGGCAGGATGCTGCCAGTTAATCACACTTTTAGCAGCTAGTTTTGTCCAAGGAGATCGCAAAATGACACCATTTCTTGCCATTGATTCAGTCTCTGTTGAACTTACATTCTCAAAACCTGAAAATGATTACCACTACCTAGTATCCAAATATGCAACATCCAATGCACTGCTCCATTTAGGATGGTCAAAAAAGGTTTCTCTAGAGGTGTACACCATCTCAAATTCATGAATAGTCTGTACAGTCACGGCAAGGAGCTATCCACTTGACTTGCTCTATATTGTTATTCAGAAGCTATTTGTACTGGTAAGGTGAAAAGCTTTTCAGAATCTATCATTTAGTATTCATTGTTCAATATGTACAAGATATTTTAAAGTTCAGAAGCCTTGATAGTAATTATTGAATTAGGACTGTTTTAGGTGCCTAATTAGTAGCCAGTACTGGTCTGCTAAAAGGCATTAACCCTCTATATTCAAATCCAGGTAATTGGTCTACAAAGTTTATATAGCTAGTACAATTCCTGGAATGAAAGTGCCAAGAACATGACTGTTAGTTTCAAAATGTTTATCTTGTGTCTTCTGTTAAGCAGATGCATTATGAAGCATTTTTTCCTGTCTTTTAGGTCCCTGCATTCCCAATCCATGCCACAATGGAGGAACCTGTGAAATAAGTGAAGCATATCGAGGCGACACATTCATAGGCTATGTTTGTAAATGTCCCCGAGGATTTAATGGGATTCATTGTCAGCACAGTGAGTTATTTCTATTCATTGTGTTTTTATTATTATTGATCTAATGTGTACAAGTCATTACCTTCCTTGTTTGTGGTTGAGTCATAGACTCTTAGAACAGCCCAGAGCCCAGTCATTTGGCCCCTGCTGCTTCTCTCCCTAGTGTAAGCCTTGGCTCTAGCTGTGGACTGTTTCAGTACCCCCACTGGTATTTGGGGCCAGCAATCTACCAGCCAGTCATTTTCATCATTGTTCAGCTAGACTTTCAACAGGTTGTCTTTCATTTAAAACTAATCTTTATCTCTTGCTTTCATATTTGTCTTAAAGCTACATTATTCACGCATCCCACAAAATATTTTGTTGATTAGGAGCACAAGAATACCTCAAAATGAAAGAATACTCTTTACCTAATATGTAACCTAGTTTTCTTCTTTTTACTTTTTTTTTTGGTTTTGTTTTTATTGAATTTTTGTGTATTTCATGCAGAACATTTAAAACACTTAATCTTTGTACCCCCATCCCACCGGAACCCTCTCATAATGCCCCCCCCAGAGCTCATATGCTTTGTCATCCCTGTTAAGGCACACTGTGTCAAATCAGTGTCCCTAGATGTTCCCCGGTGCAAGTCCATCCACTGAGGTCTAGTCAGCCTATCTAGAATCTCTTGTTTTAGGAAGATCAGCTCTCCTTCACCTAGCAGCAATCAGTTGCCAATATTTCTTCAGGTACAATTGGGGTCTGCTGTTCATTTTCTCAGATTACCAAGTACCACATTTGGTCACAAATGGACATTGTCTGTGAATTGTCCAGGCCTAAGTGACACATCTACAATGCAACCTTTACACTTACAGCTCATAGAACATGGAACAGGGGTAAAGAAGATGACACTAATTAATCTCTCAGTTCTCACTAATGAAGCCCCCTCATGCAGCAGAGGGCCAGGAACTCAAAAAGGTCACAAATGGCCAAAGTGTAGATATAAAGAGTCTGTTGAATGCTGGTTTATTGAACTTCACCCACTCAAGCCTCAGGAACCATCGGCAAAGAAGGGGCAGAAAGATTGTAAGAACCAGGGAGGAGGTGCATGACCATATGGAAACAGAGTCCTCCAAGCTCCTATGGCAATGGTGTCAGCATATACAAGTCCCATGCAATCTCCTTTTTACTTTTTAACATTTTAGTGTGAAAATTTTTAGAAGTTCAGTAAGCATACCATGTGTCAATTCTTTTTTTTTTTTTTTTTGTCCTGTGATGATTTCACGATAGAAGTTAATCTAACGATAAATGCTCACTGAGTGGCATCAAACATTGCCAGAATGCAGGGATGCTACAGTGAACTCTGAGCTTCCTTAGGAGGTTCTTATAGAGGTGGCTGCATTTAGGCAGAATGGTGAAGGGGGCCTAAGATGTTGATTGGGGAAACAGGGGTGGAGGTTGGGAAGGCAGCATGTGGTAAGAAAAAATGGGGAGGGAATGTTTGAGCCATTAATACTAAAGTAATACTTAAGACTGTGGTATTAGGGACAAGTATGGCAAATCTGAATTGACTGACCCAAGTCAGATTTCTAGCCCCCATAAGCAAGCACTGTGTTTCTGTGCTCTGTTTCTGGGTTCTGTTTCTGATTCTGTTTCTGAGACATAGAAGCATCTCCTGTCTTCCTGGAGTCTCCCCAGGACCAGGATTTAGTAGAACATCTGGAGAAGGTTGGTATAATACCTGAGCAATATTGCTCCTTACAATTGTCACCTAAACTTCCTGGGCTGGTCTCTAAGTCTCAGGTCATCAACAAGCAAATGAGAGAGTATAGATTTTTTTTTTTTTTGTCTAAGTCCAAAATACCTGGGTTAAAGGTATTCATACAGATTATTTTCACATAGAAACATCTGAAAACAGCTGTAGAGAGACTGAGATGGGGACATAGCATCTTTGGTGCCTTGCTATTCACTCAAACCTAGGAAGAGAATATTATAATCACTTATTTGATTATGAAATCTTAATTTGTGTTATCAGGTAAAGACCCAAAAGCAGACATTCTAGCTATATGAATAACTCACATCTGAGCTGCTTTATATAGTACACACACAGGCTCTCCCTGAAAGAAGAACTACATTTTTATGATGAACTTATCCATGGCCAGAGATGGGCCTTATAGACAATGTCAACCATCCTTGCTTCTTTTTTTTCCTGTTGAGCAAATGAGGCAAATGAGATAACAATAGGCAAATTCTTACTGTTAGAAGGAATACCAAAAACATTTAATGGGACAGCTTTTGGAAAGCATGTGTAGAACGCTAATACACTTTTATTTTACATTTTTTAACCTCTCACTCTGAGAAGTAGTTGAAGTATTGTGAAGTCAAGGTTTTCCCTTAAACAAGAGATTGGGAAACTTTAAATCATGTTTCACTTGATAAGATCTATATAACAGAATTGTTTTCACATCTCTAAGACTCATTTTCCTCATATTTTAAAGGTTAGCTTTGTTTCTTTCAATTATAGTTTGTGAGCTAGAAATCACATGGGTGACATTAAGTCATCATTTATTTTCCCAAAGTAAGTTACTGTGGAAAGTTGCTGGTGGGGAAGTTTCCATGCCCTGGCTTCCACATGTGATTCTTCTATGTGGACCACTGGAGTTTGGACCTAAAACAGATGGTTCTTGTTCCCATTCTCCATGGTAGGACGTACACACCTTTTCTCACATGACCTTAACACATAAAATAAGCTCACACTTAATATAGTTTTATCAAGTCTTATTTTGAAGCACAAAGGAGCTCTCCCTTTCACTATAACTTTTATCTCCAGAAGTTTAAGTGCAATGGAAAGCCCGCGGCTGAAAAAATCAATTCAGTACTGGAATTTTTGTCTAAGTCACAAGGTACTTTCCCATAGCATGCACCAGCATCAGGAGCAAGACAAAAGGAAGACAGAGGGTTGGATTTGGAATCAGAAACTGGGATCTGAGATTATGCCTTTCAAAGTTGATGAATAAGTGTGTTTGAGTCAGTCCTTTGACCTCTCCCCAATTGAAAATATATAAATGAAGGAACTGAACTAGAAATAGATGACCTTGTGTTCAGATAAGCCAGGACTAAATGATAGTTTGTGTCCTGTACAAAGGTTATCAAAACTTCCTCTTTACAGATGGAATTGAAAGGGGTTATACCTTGTGAAGCAGATCTAGATGTGCTGGTGGCCAGGAAGGATTCTTCAGTTAGGAGAAGTAGGAAAACAGCTCTTAAATCCCTTACCAGGTTTGATAGATGTTTTAATTTATATTTCATTCTTGTAACAGATTATTTATTATTTATTATTTATTTATTTATTTATTTATTTATTTATTTATTATGACACAGCGTGTGTGGGGAAATCAGAGGACAACTTTATTTATTTATTTATTTATTTATTTATTCTGGTGCCTATCTTGAATCTCAGTGCTCAGGAGACAGAGGCAGGTAGAGCTCCATGAGTTAAAGGCCAGCCTGCAAGCTCCAGGCCAGCCAGGATATATAGTGACAACTTCTTTCAAAACAAAATGAATAAACAAGTTGTTGATGTCTATTCAGCCTGCTTATTAGAGCTTTATCAATGATCAGGTTGGGCTCTGTGTCTCTGAGGTTTATTAAGAATTGTGTGTTAAGGCTGGAGAGATGGCTCACCGGTTAGGAGCACTTGCTGCTTTTTCAGAGGACCCCAGTTCAGGTCCTAGCACACACATCAGTGACTGACAACTACCTGTAACTCCAGCTTCAGGGGATCTGATACCCTCTTCTGGCCTCCTCAGGTATCTGCACATATATAGCATATACTCAAATAGACATACACATAAATAAAAATATTTAAAAGGACCACTGAAACAACTTGGTGATAAAGGCACTTGCCACCAAACCCAACAACCTGAATTTGATCCCTAGAACCTACATAATGGAGGCAGAGAACCAATTTCTGCAAGTTATCCTTTGGTCTCCACATGTATGCTGTGGCACATGTATGTAGATAGATAGACAGATAGATAGATGATAGATAGATAGAGGATAGATATAAAATTTATTTAATTAATTAATTATTTGGTCTTTTTGAGACAGGGACTCTCTGTAGCCCCAGCTGTCCTGGAACTCACTATTGTAGACCAGGCTGGCCTTGAACTCACAGAGATCTGCCTGCCTCTGCCTCCCAAGTGCTGAGATTGAAAGCGTGTGCTACCATGCCTGGCTGATTTATTTATTTTTTATGGGGCTTTTGGTACTCTAACATCCCCCCTCTGAAGAGATAACCCTAAAAATCGTTTAAGGAATAGATAAAGGCCCCCAAATAATTTCTACATTTTTGGCGTTTGGAATGGAGTATGTTGCTAAGAGGCCCAAAGATATTGTGAGTTTTAGCCAAGAAATTGGCTACTTTTCTTTGGGTTTTTTTTTTTTACCCTAATTGCCTAGCCAATTCCTACCTACTATGCTTACCACACCATCCTCTGAAGAGGTTACCCAAATTGCCAATAGGGAATCAGGAAGCAAACCACTTTGGCTTCTTCCATGCTGAACAGGGATGCAGGGTGAGGAAATTATAGTACCCCTTCAGTGGGCCTATATAAAAGACTCCCAAATTGCATAACTCTTATCACTAGGGGGAATGGAAAGTCTTGGAATTGTAAATAGGAGATGTGAAGGAGAAATAAAGACAAGGGTAATTAGCATTACACATTCTAGACAGGGAACTAGAAAAAGGTTAGAACAGGGAAATTTCAAATATTCATATGAGAGTCCATTAGAATTTCTTGACAACAGCTTCCAAAAGCATCCCTCTATTGGGTTCTCCTCATTTTTCTTTGGTCTTTCAAAGCTGGACTCTAGAGTGATGGATTCAGGATTTGTTTTCAGGTACTTTGACAGCTGTTGGAGTGGTTAGATCAGTGTCAGTTCCATCTCAAAGGCTTATAGATAGGGGAAGAAAACAAATTTATCCACCAATTTAGAACAATAGCAGGTTGTCTCCCTTAACTACAGGTGGGCACTAAAGTATT